TGAAGAGGGATGGCTTTATGCTGCATCTCCTGATTGAAAGGTGTAGTGGTTTGAATGAAAATGCTCCCCATGGGCTCTAAGTATTGATGGTGGCATTTTGAAGAGGGATGGCTTTATGCTGCATCTCCTGATTGAAAGGTGTAGTGGAGCCATGCTCCCCATGGGCTCTAAGTATTGATGGTGGCGCTGTTTTGGGAGGTCTTAGAAGATGTGATTATCATGGAGGAAGTATGTTACAGGGGGGTGGGCTTAGAGAGTTCTTAAGCCTTGCCTGATCTCCAGTTGCTCTCTTGTTTCCTGTGCCTGCTTGAAGATGTAGAGCATAGCTTCTGCTCCTGCTACAGCCACCTCCAGCCACCAAGCCTCCCCGCCATGATGGACTGTAATTCACCTGGAAATGTAAGCTCAAATAAATTCTTCCTTTCTTAAGTTGCTTTGGTCAGTGTTTCTATCACAGCAACAGAAAAGTGACTAATACAGAAAGGTCTTCTGTCATTACTGGCAGTAAAATGCAAAGACTAAAAAATAATGATAGTTTCCTAACTGAAACTGAAGTGATTAGCATTAACTTGTGACTGCTCCCTAGCCCACACTTAAAAGTGACTTAGTAGGTGCTTTATTTTTTAAGTTTTATTCTGGAAAGCCAATCATTCTGGAAGAATTGGCCCCCAAGGGCACTGCATAGCTTCTGTCTTGGTATCCTTCACTCTATCTCCAAGAAACCCTGTTCTGGAAATATGTTTCTGGAATCCTGTCTCATGCTTTATTCTTTTCTGGGATTTTTTTTTTTAATCACTTGGGGTTTCTTTTAGATTTCCATGCTGTGAGGATGGTTGGTAACAGTTTTCCAATTTTAGGTAAACCTGACCACCTTATTTTGGGATTGGTTTTCTGGACCCATCCAAAAGACTTGTACTGTTTTTATTCAGACTTGAAGTAAACAGTCTGGATCTGCTTTAAGTGTTGGAAAATATATTTTATTCTCTTTATTGACTTTCTCTTGGAATTGTCTGACCCTACAAGTAAATATCAAATCAAAATGTGAATTCCAGCTTAGGAAGAAACAGACATAGGAGCCTCTTGGTTTCTTTTGGTGCCTCAATCCCTTTGGGTTTGTATAACAGCATATCAACCACAGTGATTTTTGCATCATCCTGTAGGCTAAGAAGACCAACACCAACTTTCAACCAGATCCAGTGTGAGGGCCAGCTTCTTGTCATGGATGGCTGTCTTTTGGCTGTGTCTTCACATACAGATGTTATGGAGCACTCTGGTTTACCTATTTAAAAAGACCCTAATTTGATTCATGAGAATTCTGCTCTTATGACTTAATCAACTCTTAAAACTACACTGTCACTTGGGGATTACGTTTCAACATATGAATTTGGGGAGATATATAAATATAGATATGCACACAATTAATCTTTAAGCATTTAGTTTCTTTTTAAATTAATTTTTGACAATTTCATACATGTTTATCCCTTTGGAATTGTAAGCCCAAATAAACTCTTCCTTCTATAAGTTCCTTGGTCATGGTGTTTTGTCACTGTAACAGAAAAGTAACTAATAGAAAGTATAAACATAAATTTTAAAGAGACAGTTTGACAACATGTCTATTTAGCAAAACAGAAGCAGTAGGTTCACCCCTAGGAGTTATGACCCCCCCTTAGCCATGGGCTTTGGCCAGGTATGCAGTATCAGGTAGGAACTCTCTCCTGCAAAGCTGGCCTTAGAACAAATGAAAACATTTGGTTACCTCTTTCCCCCATAACAGACATGCCATTATTGCACCAGTAGGCACATCTTGTCCAGAAGGTTGATAGCATAGCAGGCAAGGTCCACAGTGGTTTATTACTGTTGATGACATTTCTCTCACAGCAGCCTGCATAGTGCCGTCCAGAACTATGAAAGCTAGCCAGCAGAGTAGCCTCTTGCAGCTCAGTTCCAGATTGATTTCTCTATGTCTTGCATCCAAAGAGTGTGGTGTCTCAAAATTATGTGTGTTGACTTTGAATGTCTGTAAAGACCTGCCATGAAAGGGGCCATTGGGGTGCAGAGAGGTCTGCAGAGGAGTGGGGACAGTAGAGCACATGTACCATGAGAGTAGAAGGGAACACTGGAGGTGGCAAGGTTAAACAGGAATGTGGGCTGGGAAGAAGGGGGTGTGAGGGAGAAAATGAGCCAAAACTAAGGATAATGAAAAAGATATTTGGAAATTCAGTGCTTTATAAGTTAACTAAAATATGAAGTTAAAAACAAGAGCTCAAATGGTGGTATTCTGCAAGGGTGGATAATGCTGCTCCCAGAAACCATGGATTATTAATGGCAATCCCAAGCAAGCAAGCAAGCAAGCAACCAACCAACCAACCAGCAACCCATAACAAAGCATGAAACATTTCCTGGGGTGGTAGATGGTGGAAAGTATATATTTACTAATTAAGTGGGTTTAAGTTTTACAATAAAGAACATAATGGAAACATAAATTTATCATAACAAAAACAATTAAGTTCAAAGGGTATAGTAGGAATGTTATGACACAAAAAATAGTAAGTCAGTGCCATGAATTCAGTATCTCGCTCTTGCCCTTCAATAACAATGTCAAAGTTACAAACATGGAATCTTCTCCTTTAAATTGCTTTCATGTCATATATGAAGTTGATTTCCATCTTACAACGTCAAATAAAGTGTTTAATGGTGTATTGCAACTTGTGAAATCTTTACAGGGATCCTTTTCTATGATCATAAAATGGTTTTTAGAAGATCCTGGTAAATAGGTTGTTTTTGAATACAACCTTTTGTGATGGCTGCTTTCATATTATACACTTCCTTTCCCTAGTTACTGATTACCCTTACAATATATCTTCACTTTTCTCCTTTTTCCATCTTCTGTTATCTATGGTGTCTCAGTGCCATTTTGTTTATTTGGCTAATTCATTTATGTCACCAGTCAGTAAAATACAAAAGATGATGTTATTAAATCAAGGGCACTAAACTCTTGACCTTTAAGGCAGATTCAACATGTGGGCATGGTTGGTTTGGTGCACCAAATATATAAAACTCTTGGAATTATTACACTAACATTTAGATTTTTGAGTTTCTCTTAATAAATTAACAGTTTTTTTTCAAAAGCGAACCAGAGTTACACATGGCTACGATCTGCTGGTACAAAATATTTTGAAACCCATCCTGCACTGTTGCTCACCCTCAGCCAGTTTTCCCATTTGGTTCCTATAGGCTTGTGAATATATAACCCCCGGATTAAACTGGTATGGGTGGTAGTCCAGCACCTGTGCATATAGTAAGGATTCAACCAATATGACATAACCAATAGTCTCAACTCATATGAGTTAAAAGACTATGATTTGTGTTAATTCATTGCTGTAACATCTCTCCACAGGCTATAAATAGTAAAATATTCTTAAAGGAATAAATGAACTAGATTCCTATTCATAAATACAATGGAAAGGACAATTCCTGTATTCACAGTGTTGTATACTAATCCCAAGTACTTTGTCCCTACTTTTCTTCTTTCGTCTGAGCTTTTTCCATCTCCAAAAGTATGATTTAAAAAGACATAATTCATTTTTTAAAAGAAGATTTATTTTGGATTAAGTGATTTCATGATGTAACATGGTTTTTAAACAAAAATAGAGATCAGTATGAAAATAAAACAAATTGTACACATTAAAATTTCTTTCCCTCAAAGCATTTCATAATCATAAAAAATACAACATAAGAGTCAGGGGTTCAGGTGAGGATAAGAATACAGACTTCCCAGAAAATGAACAGCTGGTCCAGAATTCAGTCCTAAGCTTGGTGTAATACCACCCATGAACCATTACTAGGAAGCCTGCCGACAGTCTGTGCTATTTGCCTTGAGGAAAAAAAAAGTTAAATGTAAAGTGAAATGAGGACTATATAAACTTAATTCTAACAGTAAATACCTCCTATTATTATTCTTTGCTAAAAGTCACATTGAATAAATATGAAGCTAAAATCAACTAAACAAATACAGAAATGCAACTATTAACTGTGATTCATGGTATAGTATACATAACAAGTGGGTTTGGTGAAGAGAAATGGAAAGCTTTAAAAAATACACCACCTGTGCTCTACTGAAATCTTAGAAATAACTGTTTTTACAGAGCCTTAATATTAAAAAGTAAACATTATTATAAAATTAGATTAATACTTTTAGTAAGAGGCAAGAGAGATGCATGTATTTTTATATTCATTTATTTTGGAATGCCTGCATCCCTATTATAAAAACATGTAATCTTATGCACTTTCCAACATACCAGCAGCCCCCAAATTTTACTTATGATATCACATAAAGAAAAATAGGCTGTAATTACATCTTTTAGAGCATTAGGGTCCTAAAAGAACATTCAGTTCTGTGTGTTTCCAAGTTCATCCTTTCAAGATATTTCTTGAACATTACCATCCTCTTTTACAGAAGGTGGTAATAACCAGAAGTTTACTGATGGTTCCTTACCTACATCAGTAATAACAGATTCAGTTTGAATCATACAACATACCTATCAACACTCCTCAGAGTTGCAATATCTTAAAAGAAAGGTGGATAGGAAGATATCATCTACCCAAGGCCACTAGACATAAAAATCACATACATAAATTTGATTTTCCCATGGTCCCTGGAAACCATACAGCCAGAGTCATCCTGCTCTGTTGAGCCATTCAACCAGGAATGATGAATAAGGTACCTAAAGATTAAAAAAAAAAAAAAAAGCCGAGCAAATGTATTTCTCGTCCTGATTAACTTATTGAATAGGAAACACTGATTTGGTCTCCCATTGCAATTCAGTAACCTCATTCAGGATTTTGCTTTCCAGATTAACAGGGAACATTTAAGTTAGCATTAGACACCATGAGAATGTCTTGAAAGGTATTCTAATGTCAGCTTAAAAGAAAATAAGCATAATGAAATAGAAGCACCTTTTATTTCCCAGTGTCCAATAGCAGTAACAATAACTTTCAAGTAAAAATAATACATAACAATTTAATGCAATAATACTCTAGACCTAAATTTCATTTTGCAATATAGGAAATACAGCCTATTGAATTTATAAAGCCAAGGTATTTCCCTCCAGATAGGCTGCCAGGCACTGTGTGCCTTAAACATGAAGGTATTCTCAAAACTCAGCAACCAAAATGGAACACATTCCCACCCCCACTAAAATGCTCTAAGATAGTGCTTGTACCATTGTTGCATTGCTCCTTTGGCTAGTCTGTGGTCCAGAAGGTCTTAACATCCTTTTGGTCACGGCCCAGGTTGCTCTGATACAGGTGACACAAACATTCATTATACTCCTGATGCCAGATTCTAGAATGTAGTTGCTGCTCCTGAATCTTGTCAGCTGGTTAGTAGTGAGCATTATATTCTCAGGGGTGGTACAACTGCTGGGCTTTTCTATGTTTTATTTTTATCCCTTTTAGTGGTAGCAGTTGGCCTTTAGCCACAAATCAGACGTCTTTAATGTCTGTGGGGTTTTTTTGCTTACATGCTAGGCAAATTATCTGGAAAATGCAATAGAACTACAAAATAAATAAATTTTGCCAACCAGGATATACTTCCAAGGGATAGTATATTTAAGGTCAAGTCACATGGAAGTAAGACGGCTATGATTTAGAGTGTCGCTCATCAACAATGGGGCCAGAAACCCCATTGGAGGTTAGGCTGTGTTCGTTTGCATGCTGCTGCTTATGCACAGTTGGTGATGCCTTTTAAAGATAATGTGGCCTCATTCTCCCGCCTCTGTAGTTTCCTGAATACAGTTACATTGTGTAAACTTCTAGATTCTTCATTATATGTGCCTTGTTATAAGTGGCCAACTCATAAATAAAGCTTGTGCAAAAATGGAAACAAGTTATTTGAACTAAAGTAGATGAGGAAAAGCTGTAGTGGTCCCCTCCCCCATCTCACCGGAATTCAGTTGTCAGGACTCTGTAGACTCATGCTTATCAAAAACTAATAAAGAAAACCAGACTTCTGATTGGTGCCTTTCCCACATTCTTGCTCCTACATATCTGAGAAAACTAAACTATGATGTAGAAATTCACCAAAAGCCACCAGATTTTGCCTCATTTTAAATTCCTCCTGCCAAGCAGTGAAAAGTAAACATTAAGTCTTTGAGGAATGAATGTAGCCTTCCGTGGGCTTTTCAGGAGGTGTCACTTTTTAAGCGTGTTTGTTTAAAAGAGAGATTGGGAAGGTGAAGCTTCTGAAAGTGAATATATCGGTGCAAACACTATTTCTTGAGCTGAAACACAGAATTGTGACTATAAAGTACTAAAACTGATTTCGCAAGTCACTCTTGAAAATCAGCCTCAGCCCAGATAGAACTAGACACTTCTCCCTAACCAAGTGACTGAGGATCAAAAGAGACAGTAGACCTGAAAGCATTGTGAGAGGACAACACTCCACACACCCTGCCTTCACCATCCTTGCGATGACACCTTTTAAGCACTGTCGTGACCAGTAGGTGTTAGCCATCTTTCCTCTCTGAGACTCGAGTTGAATTTAGAGAATGCCACCTGAAGCTACACTTTAATTGTGCAAAATGTATTTCCTTTCTAGTCCAATTGTGTTTTCTAGATTTTACTTGTTACAGAATGACCACAAATTATAAATATAACACATGCTAGAAAATTGTGACTGCACTTCTTTGACTTGAATTATTCATTTTGTGCACAAGAAAAATGTTTTGATCCCGTAAGTGGGATTTGGGCTCAGGAACCATATTTTACACTGAAAACTGAATGTATATTATAATTCAGAGGAAGGGAGTCTGAAGGAAACTGCCAGACTTGTTTGGCATTTCTTTGATACCTTGAAGATTCTTGACTTGCTCTTTCACAGTTCAGCTCCCACCTACACACTTTAAACCTTCTTGTGAAAATGCTTTCTGGGTTTCCAGACTTACCAAAAGTGGTGTTCTATGACATCCTGTTAGTTACAAACAGAAATAGCATTTGCCTGATATCTTCCAGCTACACAATCTCATATCCATGAAGCTGGACTCAAACCTCTGGGATGGATAGGCTATTCTTTCTTTATTCCTTAATTGTAGAACTTAATCTTTTATTTAAAATGCTTTTGGGAACCTTGGCATCTCTTTATACTAGATTGTGAGCTTCTTTCTGAAGGTCAGATTCAGAATCTTGTTGCTCCATTATCATAGAGGGAATGTCAACGGTGTGCCTGTTTTCTCCTTTAAGGGATGATACAGACATAATATATCACAATTATAAGTAGTGTCAGTTATAAATCTCTCAAAGAAAACTAAACCAAAGAGCCAAGTTATCTGGGTTCACAGTTTGGAAGAAGATATTTATGGCTATTTCTAATTGTAGAGTATAATGGTATCTAATTTATTCAGTGGAAGTATTATTTAAATTTTACATAGCTATTATTGTTTGCTTTTTGTTTTACTCATGAAGAATAATAGATAGGTTCTCCTTGTTTCTTACATGCTAGCTACAACTTTGATAATTTCCAATTCTGAGAACAGCATCAACTAGATAATTCAACTAATTAAGAATATCTGGACACACTTAGAAACTGTTGAGAAGTTGGCTGCCTTAACAAAGACATATATTTGTTAGAAATAGTTAGGGAGATATATTTTATTTCAAACATCTTTTGCCTAGTAGTATGGCATATGGTGGCAAAGTGTCTCAAACCGAAATAAATGTTAATATGGTCCATAATTATATTTTTGAAAGAAAGGCAACCTTCTACAGACACCTTCATGACAACTGTTTAGAGAACACAGGTCTGACACATCAAAAATGTGATTTAAAAATGTATGTTAGTGTGGTATATTTTCCTTACAATGAAAAAATACAAACAAGTAAAAGCAGTTTGCAAAAATTAAACATATACTTGTATTCATGACAAATAAGTACAAACTAATAATTTCAATCAATGTTCTTGTCATTCTTTTTTCTGGTCCAATTATGGTACACAAATAAATATTCCTTATATGTTTTCTATATTTCTGTCATCTTTTTCTTTTTTCCTAGAACATTTCCCCACACCACAGTGCTTTCCTTAGTGCAGTAATGAAACATGAGTGTCATTCTCCTTGAGAGTCCCAACAGTAAACACAACTTAACTAATGGGAGAAAAATTGTTCTTACAAAATACCTATGAAAACTGTGCATATGACCTCTATAAAATGTAAAGTTGCCAACATCCCACAATAGGAATTCCATAGATACTTATAAACAAGATTCTCAAAGAAACATTGGGATAATACCTGTAAACCCTCAGACTGGCAAACTAAATGTTAATCCAGTGGATTTACCTTCCTCAATTCAACTGTATTGTGTGTCTGGTTAGTTATGGTTATAAATCAGGAAATAAACAATGATGTGGAATAATCCCCAAAGCAATTAAAATGAAGGATACCCTTTCACAAAATTAAGAAAACATGTCAGTGATGTCATGCAGTTTTGGAGAGATCATAGAAAAAATTTTGATATTAATAAGAAAATTATCCATCAGTGAAAATGCAGGCTTAGAAATATAGTACTGAGAGTTTCAATTCATGAAATCTTCACTGATGAGGGAAAATGGAATTCCTATTACTAAGAGAGCTGATCTCTTCGGTGTTGCTGATGGCTCCCTAACTGAGCTTAGTGTTTAATGATGCTGTACAAATAAAAAGCTGTTGGGGAAATACGAAATATCTGTAATAAATGCCATCCTGAAAAGTATTTGATGGATGGAAGAGAGTCTAATGCATTTTAAATAAATGCACATCATACCATCACATATAGTGAGTCTTAAAAAATTATTACTTAGGCGCACAGTCCTTGTAGTGGTTGACATGGCACTGTGAAGGAAATCTGATTTAGAAGCTACTTTCTATTTGTCAAGTGATGGAAGTTGCTTTTAGTCATATTATAATGTCCCTTCAACTTTGGTACATTCAGTGAAAAATGTTTGGGGGAATTTTTTTTTAACCTTTATAAAAATAAAAGGCCCTTTTGTTCCCTTGAAAGTGCTTCAAAGGATATGTACTAGCATGATGCCCAAGTAAGCATGGAACATGAAATGGAGGGTACATACAGTATGGTGGATGGGTCCTTATATACATTTTAAAGAACATAAATATAATGAACCTATAAAAATAAACAGAACTCACTGTGTACATTTTCCTGATATGCTGTGATTAATTGCTAGATATTTTTAAATTGTTTTCATGCATTATAAAGCATAAATCTGTCATTAGTAATTCACTGAATAAGTTTGTCTTCAGCCAGAATTACACACATACCACTTGCATATACATTTTCACAGACCACCTTATTTCAAATCTTTAGTTACCTCATATTGACTTGGTTTCATTTTCACTCATGTCCTGTGAAAGTCAAAACCTATAGTGCACACCATGCAGGCACTCATAAGCAAGAAATGAATATTCTGTTATAACTTAGGGTTTAAATGAATGTACTTTCAGGAAATATATTTGTTTTTATTATATTATTTAACTTGAACTAATTTAGAGATTGGACCAAGTGCTGCCAGTCTGGTTTGAACCACATTCAAGGGAAAGTTTCAAGAGTCTCCTGGGTCCCTAAAAATTACCATGGAGTTGATCATGTACAGGTTCATCTTTGTCTTGGAACATAACAAATGGAAAAAAGTTTGGCAGTCAAGAACTGTTGATTGAAAGACTGTTGGGTTGTTCCGTGGGCATCAAGCTCCCCCAAATCCTTCCAAGAGGACTCATGGCCAGTCCCCAAATGTGAGAGCATCTGTCCCTGGAAAACAGCACTCAGCTTTCTGTAATGGAAGCCTTGGCTGGAGACTTCCAATGTTCTGTCGTTTTCTTGGAGTCTGGCTTATGAAAGTGCCTGTCCATGAGGAGCCGAGCATCATGCTTCCAGGTCACTCAAGTCCAAAGGTACTGGTCTCTTCAACTGCTGTCAAGAGCTTTTCATAAAGCATGGAAAAGGAAGGGTATGGAGGAAGATCCAGACGGTTAAAACATGTGTGAGCTCTGAAACAGAAGAGGCCGTACAGATTTAGGAGCCAGGGAAATGAAAGTACATGCATGCGTACATGTGTGTGTATGCGTGTGCATGTGTCTGCGTGAGTGCTCTTTCATCTTCAAATTTGCTACTGTTTTTCACAGTAATACTGGAAAAACTGAAAACATTTGATAATCTGCACTTAACATAATTCTTCTGATATCTCTGTATAATAGAACCCAAACCTGGGTGTAAAGAAATTAAGAAATTCAGAGTTTTATTTTTCAAAGGGAACAGGACATTTAAAAAGATTTTCTTGCCAGGTGTGGTGGCGCACGCCTTTAATCCCAGCACCTGGGAGGCAGAGGCAGGTGGATCTCTGTGAGTTCAAGGCCAGCCTGGTCTACATAGTGAGTTCCAGTACAGCTGGGACTACAGGGGGACCCTGTCTCAAAAAGACCAAAAAAATTTTTTTCTTTATATTTCACCATTGAAATGATACATTTTGCTGGGCGTGGTGACACATGCCTTTAATCCCAGCACTCGGGAAGCAGAGGCAGGTGGATCTCTGTGAGTTTGAGGCCAGCCTGGTCTCCATTTTGAATACAAGGCCAGCCTGGACTTCATGTTTAAAAAAAAAAAAAAAAAAAAAAAAAAAAAAAAAAGAAAAGATACATTTCGTGCATATCATTACTTGCGGAGTTGTGTAAGAATTATAAAGCCAACTTTAGTTTTATTCTTCCTCTTTCAGAGACACAAATAAAAGGCCTTGCAGAATAATTCATTTTCAGCCTTGGCAGTGGCCTGGATGACTCTCAAGATAATCTGCAGGTTGGCTGTTTTTTCATGTTCCTGGGCAGGAGAAGCACAGAGAACCTCTGAAGACTAGACTGTGGCTCAGAGTTTGAGAAAAGCCCCTGGATGGACTTGTGTGTGGAAGTCAGTAGAGCACTGTGACTTCTTTGAATTCTGTGCTATTATCCATTTTCTCCCCAATCACAATGCAGAAAAACACCCATTTAATCGCAATTACATTCAGCATTCTTTTTTAGAAATACCTCCTCTTTTGCCAAGATATGAAAAAAAAGTGTTTTCCTGTTATTTGCACCTGATTCACAATAATAGACAGTTTCCAAACAGTACATCTTATCAGGAGGCAAATCTGCACTTTTGACATGGAATAGGAAGCACAACAGCTTGTTTGCTGGAGCGAAGCAGTTCTGGACTTTTAAAAAATTCTCCTGAAGTAACATGAAATTTGAGAGGCTGTGCTTATTAGTAGGCTATTTGAACAAAGTAACATGTGCAAATTTTTGTTGTTACACATCACTTTTTACTCATGAAGTAAATATAATTACAGTTCCTACAAACAATATAGGACAGGAGGAAGATCAGAACTCTGGAGCTGTGGAGACTTGGGTATGAGCTCCAGCTCTATCAGTCACACCAGTTGTGTGATTTGAGTGATGTATTAGAATTCTGAACCTCAAATTTCTCACCTGTAAAAGGAATACCATAGTAAGGTAACTTGTCTCAGAAGGCTGTGGGGATTCACTGAAATAACAGAAATACGCTTCACAGAATGCCTGGGACACAGTGTTTGACTAAATAATAATAGATGCATTGTTAGCCACATTTCCTTGTCATTGAGAGGACTTATCCTAATTGCCTTCAAAAAGCTGCCCAAAGATAACAATAACCTGTGGAAAGTATAACATAATAAAGAGATAACAAAGCAGGTGTGTGGTCACATGACCTCTTAGAAACAGGAATGTAAGGGGCTCTGTTATAACGGTGCCAGGGTCAGAACACTGAAATATTAAGACAGATTTTACTATAAGCCATGGGACATGTTGGTGGAAATCATCTAATCAATCTTGGCAGGCAAGTACTTTAAGAAAATGCAGCAAACATTCAAGAACTGCATTTAACATAATTCTTCTGCTATCTCCTTATAATAGAACCCAAACCTGGGTGTAAAGGGAAAGGTTTTACTAGCATACTACAACAGAGTCTCAGGGGTGGATTAAAATCCATCTGACATGAAATTCTGGAATAGAAATATTAAATGAAAACTTCATTTCTGTTCCAGGTTAGCTGAGGGAAACATACAGAAGTGAAATATGCCTTCAACAAAATTACATGCCAGGCTTTCTGTGACAGAGAATATTCATTATCCCATTAGGCTAAAAAATGGTACTCCATTAATTCAAAAAATATTTTGAGAATTTCAAGCACGAATCCTGTATTTGTATCATTCCTACCCCTCCCACTCCCCCTCAACTCCTTCCATGTCCCACCACCACCTACTCTCAACTGTCCTCTTTATAACTGTGAACATACATTCAAATTTTCATTTCTTTCTTTTTCCTTTTCTTTTTTGAGACAGGGTCTCTCTGTAGCTCCAGCTGGCTTGGAATTCACTACATAGACAAGGCTGGCCTTGAATTCACAGAGATCCACCTGCCTCTGCTTCCCAAGTGCTGGGATTAAAGGAATGTGCCACCACGCCCAGCTAATTTCATTTCTTTATCAACAAGGCAGAGCATCTTTGCCTAGGTCTGCTTATTTTTTGCATTCATTGTTTTATGATCTTTACATTCATCTCCTTGGCCTGTTTGTCCTTTTTAATACATTTTTTAAAAAGTATATTTTTATTGACTTTTTGTGCATTTCATACAATATATCTTAATCATATTTAGACCTCTTCACTACCTGTACCTCCCCAACACCCCCCACACCGGATTTCATGCATTCTGCCATATGTTTTTGATATATATGTTATTTTTCTTTTATATGTATATTTCCTGCATGTATGTATGTGTACCCATATTGCACAATGCCCAAGGAGGTCAGAAGAGGGTGTTAGATTCCCTGGAACTGGAGTTACGGACTGTTGTTAGCTGCCATGTGGGTTCTGGGAACTGAACCCAGGTCCTCTGCAAGAGCAGCCAATGCTCTTAACTGCTGAGCTTTCTCTCCAGCCCAATGTGTATGCTTTTATTGTGATAAAATCTATTTAAAATTTACCATTGCAGCTGTTTTTAAATGCGTAGTTTTGTGGCATTAATTACATTTACATTATGTGACAGTAATATTCAATGTCAGCTTGAAAGGATCTAGACCTATCTAGGAGATAAGCCTCTGGGTATGCCTGTGAAGGATTATCTAGATCAGGTTAAATGAGGTGGGACGAGCCATCCTAATTGTGGGTGGCACTGTCCTGTGGTCAGGGATCCTGGACTGAATGAAAACTAGAACATGAGCTGAGCACTAGCATTCACCATTCTGCACCCTGACTGTGGATAGAAGATGACCAGCTGCCCCTGGCTCCTGTCACTTTGACAGACTGCCCCCTAGAACTGGGAGCCAAAATAAACCCTTCCTTCCTTAAGCTGCTTTTGTCAGGTATTTTATCACAGAAACAGAAAAAGTAAACAGTTCAGCAGCCAGCACTACCTTCTATCTCCAGAACTTTTACATCGTGCAAACTGAAATTCTGATCCATTAAATAGTAAATAATTCCTGTTTCTCCCCCTGTTGGGCCCCTGGAATTCACTGTTCTATTTTCTGTCTCTGGGAATATTTACTACTCTGTATAACTTAAATAAGTGGAATCATAAAATATTTGTTCACTGAATTTGGTTTAGCTCTTTGCATATGTTTTCAAGGTTCATGGTGTAACATGGGTCAAAATTATCTTCATTTAAAAGCTGAATAATATTCATATATATATATATGTACCACTTTTGGTTTATTCATCCACTGGACACAAATTGTTTCTACCTTTGGCTTTTATAAATAATGCTGCTATGAACACAGGCATGCAAATACCTGTATAACTTTCCGCTTTCAGTCTTTCGTAGTATAGATCCAGAAACCACCCAAGCTTTCCATAATTGTCCCATATTTTACATTCATGTCAACAGTATGTGGAGGTTCTAATCAATTAATATCTTCAGCAGCACTTATTTTCTATGACTTATTTATATTATTTGAATTTTTATAATACCCATCCTAATGGGTATAAAATCCATTCATTTTCTTTTTTCTAATTTTTAAATTTTTATTTATTTTTATTTTATGTGTATGTGTATTTTATGTGTATGTATGTATTTTTATTTATTTATATTTTATGTGTATGTATGTGTTGCCTACATGTAGGTATGTGCACCCATGTCATGCAATGCCTGCGGCGGTCAGAAGAGGCTGTCAGATCCCCCTGAGACTGGAGTTACGGACAGTTGTTAGCTGTCATGTGGGTGCTGGGATTTGAACCTGGGTCTTCTGCAAGAATAACCAGTGTTCTTAACTGCTGAGCCATCTCTCCAGCCCCGAAATCCATTCATTTTCTAAAGCCTAGCATTTCTTATTGATTTGTATAAGTGTTATGAAATAAAAATAGACTCTGTTGTGGTTTTGAAGAAGGACGCTTTCATGAATTCCACAGCCTCAAGGAATGAATGTTGCAACTACCTCAAGGAGCTTGGAAGCATAACCCTCTCTGGCTGAGCCTTTGGAAGAGAAAGCAGGTCACTAGACGCCTTGCTTTCAGTCTTGTGAGGCTGAGGAGAAGACTCAACTAAGCTATGTATTCCTGCACCACAAACAAAGGGAGATAATAAATGCAGGTTGTTTTAAAGCATTAAGTTGGCATAATTTAATTCTGCAGCAATCAGAAATTAGTAACAGGTGTCAAAGTCATCAAACATACAAGGGGAAGGCATGGAATGTGATGGGGACATATAACGCTCATGTATCAAGGGCTGATCCTGAGGCAAGGCTAGGAGTAAGCAGCTGTCCTTTGGTCCTTCAGGTTTCTGAGCAGAAGAGGTATCCTGCATCTCTTTGCAGTTTCTGTATTAGTCTTAAAGATGCTATTGTATCTTATTCAGCAATTTTCATAAGTTTTCAATTCTCAACACAAACGGAAAGACTGAACTTTTTTTTTTTTTTTTTTTTTTTAAGGAAAGATCTCAAAACACACTGTGCAGCCCAGCCTAACTCAAGGCAAATCCTCATCTTAGCC